AAAAAAAAAAAAAAGAGGAGAAAAAGAACTTAAAGGGGAACAGGGGAAAAGATGGGAGAAACTTCGACGGGCATAGCTCACTAAGCTCAGTTGCTACACCCACAAACTGTTGGTCCAGAAATACAGACCCAAGCTCGAATCCATAGACGATCAGATGACCAGATTCAAATAGCTATGAATTACCCGGGCCCTGTCAGTTCGGACTGTGTCCGACATTTTCAAGATTATCAGACGCGGAATTCCGTTTTTTTTCAGACTGTATACCTGTGTTCATCCTTCTTCCTTATTCCTTCTTCTTTACGTCTTCCCTGCTCTCCTCTATGTTATGGTCAAACTCGAGTGTCATGAATGGTGTAAGAATGGTCAACCCGTTTCGAGTATCTGCATCGCAGAAACACCGGTCAGTTCAATGATGATATCTCAAGGCTGAAGGCCGTCCCCATTTCATAAGGAACAAAAGAAGAAAAAAAGAAAAAGAAAAAGAAAAGGGAGAAAATGGAAAAAGGTGACTGTCACATCAAAACAAAGGGCAGATCGGCGATCACGAATAAGTTCAGTCAAAAAATTGTGTTTCGTTACGGTAATGAATGATGCTCCGTCACAAAGAAGCCCATTTTGTTTTCTGCTAGTTTTGTGACAGACTTGCCGCCCTTTTCACGTGCAAGCACCTAGGAGGCCAGGACGGGTCGGCCTCTGAGTGCTTAGTCCCAAGCACTGAGGCGAGAGGCCCTCGCTACCCTGCAACAGGCCTGCTTCACCGCGGCGATGATATATATTATAAAGACTAGCTGGTGCGGGGAATGCCCGCACAGAAAGGGGAAAATAGAAAAAAGACAGTCTCAATTTATGTACTGCGACTGAAGTTTGTTTTACACACTAAGGGCGTACTCACACTGCGACCCGAAATCTGCAGAATATGCGGATCTGGGAAGGGCCGATTTGAGGTTTTGGCCATGGTTCACGTCACACTGCTGTACCTTTTCGGATGGAACAAGGTCGCGGCCTTCTGGAGAGATGGGGATTTGGTACTTGGCTGGTCACACGGCGCCATCCACAAATTGTGCAAGAACTTTTGTGAACGAATTTTTGCTTTGAAAAAGGTTGCAGCTTATATTATAAGGACTACCTTAGCGCCCGCGGTGTGGGCGGTGTGGGCGGTGCGGGCAATGCCCGCACAGAAAGGGGAAAAATAGAAAAAGACAGTCTCAATTTCTTCTTCGTTTTTTTTTTTTTTTTTTTTTTAATTCAATGACTCCAGTCTATTCGTGGGGAGCTGCACCTGCTGGAAACCGCGTCCAGCGTCCCATACATTCATAAATGTTCCGTATCCTGGATGCATACATCAGCAGTCAGGCAGGCTATCCCGACCTCTTCACAGGAAGTCAACAGAAAAGAATGTGTAACAACTTTAACTTAGTCTATCAAGCCTGCTACTGCCTCAGAAGAGCACTAAGTCTTTCAATTTGTAGTCAATTCTAGTCCAGATCAGTTCAGAGACCAGAAAAACAGAGACCGCTCCTGAAGTTTGTTTTACACACTAAAACTCAGCAAATAATATGTGGTAAGAAAAAAAAAAAAAAAAAAAAAAAGAACGTTCCAAGATGTGGGATACAAAAGCTGCACGGGCGGGCACCTGTGCAGGTCGCCCAGCCGTCTGCCACCCCCCAGGGTACCCCGGGCATGTAAAAACTCCAGGAACTTTTTGTTTCTTTCCTTTCTGTCCACGGGGCTTTCTTTGCGCCCTCCAAAAGCAGCCCAAATCTGAGCTCTCTTTTGTTTTCCAGTGTTGTCCATTGGTGGGGAGGAAGGGGGGATATAAATGGGACTTAAAGGGGTTCAATTGGGGGTGCCTTAAGTCGACTATTTATTTTCTTCTGTATTTTTGTTTCAATGAGAAATTCTGAGCTGACCCTCGGCCAAAAGTTGGTACACCCATGAACTGTTGAAATACAGACCTGAGTTCGGACTCCAATCGACGTATAGATGAATAGAACAAATTAATTTGTGAATCACCTTGGGCTGGTCAGTTCAATGATGATACCTCAAAGGCCGGTTTCTTTTGAAGTTGTCTTGTCTGCATTGGAATTCTATACCACCTCTCTTTTTTTTTTTTTTTTTTTTTTTTTTTTTTTCTTTTGGGCTGGGGTTGCCTCAAACCCCGCCTGGGGTTCCTGCCCAGCCGGGCCGCCAGGCGTGTGTGCGGGCATCATGTTCATACATGTCGCCGCCACTTCACTTATGGTAGGAAGTCGCAACAGAGCGCGGAAGGAAAAGAAGAACACAAACTTAAGCAGGATGCAGTCACCGAAAAAAACACCATGCACAGGAAACCGTATGTATCAGAGAGACACAGACAGTATGACAGAGTCAACTAAGCACACGGCTGAGAGGAAATCCGTACAGGTCTGAGCATGCAGAGCCACAGAAAGTTCCAATGCAGACACTGTCCGTGGTTTGCACCCGATACCATTTCCCTTCTCCCCTCCCTTCTCCCCCTGCCCCCCTGTTGATGATCTCCTCCCACAACAGCAGCCCCACATCCT